TGGGCAATAGAAGATAAACACTGATCTAAAAAGGTATCTAGATGAAGGGGAATACTGTTGATGTTATGGCTAATCAAGGATGCAACATTTTTAAGTACAGTATTATGTACCATAATTAAATATCAGAACCTCCTTGACATTCAATGGCTAGATCAGTAATGACAACCAATGTGGAACATCAAGCCTGGGAAAATATAAATTCTCGTCAGTACCAGTATTAGTTATTCTTGTATCCATTTGCACAAATTTTCATGCGAATGTTCTTGTATGATGTTTTTTCCACAGCATTTATACAAGGTAAATTTTTAATTCTGTGAGGTGAGATAAATCAGTAGTACAGTAGTTAACAAAATAACACCGTAACCTACTGAATCTAAAAAATGTGAATTAGTCTGAGGCATTTGTTTTTTAGTGCCCACTTAACAGTTCATAATGGTGGCGGCACGGAGCCGAAGCATTTATGGAGATTTACATTCAGGAAGACGAACTCAGAAATACAAAATTATGGTTAGAAAATTGCAATTCCTCCAACTTTTTTTTGGGGGATACAGTATTTGAAAAGTAAGAAAGCTGGTAAAGAGTCAGTAGAGTACATGCATGGGAATCACTACCAAAAATAGGGTTTTCTTATGTTTTAGATGGTGAATTAAAGGAATCTGACCTTCAATTCTGGCAGAACTTAAAAGTTAAAGAGATATGACCCACCCTTCTACTTACAATTTTGATTGCACAAGGTGGGCAGGGATCTGAAGTAAGGGGAAATAGTGGGGTAAAAACACACAAATAATTTATCTAACTTTACCTTACCTTTGTCTTAGTGGTTTTGTGTCTTTATCAAAACCAAATATGTTTATCGTCATGATAAAGGCAGTCTGCACCACACTTTGGACACTAAAGAAGTAAGCGATAGCTACACCATGAACCTTGAAAAGTCAATAGCAGCAAATTTTCATTAAAATCCACTGCTAGCCCCCAAATGGAAAAGACCCCAATATTCTACTGAATATTAATCAGAAGGATTCCTTCCTAATATTTTTTTCATAGTTAATCTTTCTCACACATCCACTTTGTAAACAATTACAGTACAGTACTCTTAAATCATCTACAGTACTAACCTAGTTAATATAGTACAGTACAATTGCAACACCTGCTAATTGCTAAAACCATTGTTTTGCCTTCTTACAGTTATGTTAAATGATACATATATTAAACCTAATATGACACTAGGTGCATGACTGTCCCTCCTGAATTTCATACACTGTACTTTACTTTTTACTTTATCCTCTTCACCAATTCAATTAAGTAATAAAAACAATACTGCAACTTTTCTTTTAATTGTAAGTTGTTTTTTCTTTAGTTTTTCTCTATATACGATCATAAATCACCTGTAGTGGGCAGGGTAATTAGGATGGGTGAAATTGTGGGGGTAAAATGCGGTGAAAAACTGATCATATAATGCTAAAATGATGTCTGTAAGTGCTTTGTACTCGAAGGAATTAATTATTTACCATAAATATTTCTTCGAAAAGTCTGCTGTTGTTGTCTGCTCTTTGTTTGTTTATCTGAAACAACTGACCAGCTCATTCCGAGTGTACTCTCAAGTCCACAAAAACATAAAATTACACCCATGACACTTCAACAAGTTAGTTTCATTGGTACCATATTCAAAATAAGTACTTTGTTTAATATGGCAGGGTGTCTGGGGGGTGGAGCCCCCAACTAGAAAGCTAGGTTAGGTAGGTTTCTTTGGTTGGATAGGTCGGGTTCTATTAGGTTCTGTGCATTAGCATATTGTTTATATTACTTACTATCATTCAAAAAACACACGTGAAAAACATGAACGAATTCAAACAACACGTTCAGGTGTTAGCCATCTGCTTCATGTTTACCTAAACTTCTATTTGTAATGTCTGAGAACAGCACTACCATCAGAAGTTGTTCAATTTTTTTCTTTTTTTCTAGATGTTCTTTGGATGACAGTACTGTACTGTACTTATTTTGATACATGTTACCAATAAAAGCAACTTGTTTAAGCTTCATGGTACAGGACAATTTTGCATTTTTTGTGGACATCAGAGTACTACACTCAGACTGAATGGGTCGGTTATAATCAAACAAACACACGGTGACTCAGCAGATTTTTCAGAGGAGTATTTAGGTAAACAATTAATTTCTTCACGTACAAAGCACGTAGAGGCATCATTTTAGTGTCATATGATCAGTCAGTTAATATTTACGACTATCCCACGGACGAGTTATTTGTATTACCCGTACTGTTTATTTTCTTACTTTATTTTCATCAGTGAGTTCTGATATGATAATCATTTCTTGTGCTAAGGTTTCGTTTTGTAGATAATTAGGCGCCTCGGCGTGCACTAGTCTGTCTTCCCGGCGGTAATGAGGCCGCGCTCTACTGCGGCGCTTTTCCCCGGGTCCGCGGCAGTTTAATTTTCAGCATGATGTGTGAAGATTGTCGCCGGTCTTATATGGACATAATTTGCGAATACTGTATAGGGATAAAGACTCCTTTAAATAGAGACTGTCCACACTGCGTGAATCCCTGTGCTTTCAGACCGGAATGAAATTTGTTCCAATGTAATAAAAAAAATTATCAACACTTCCTCAACGCCGTGGCTCGACGTCTCTCGCCATCATCAATAAATCACCTCGCCACCCGGGCTGCATAAGCGCCGATGTGGCCGCATAATCTCACATACAGAAAAAACCTCAAATTACACCATATAATAGTAAGTTCTTTCTGCTTAATACTGTATACCGGGGGGTCCGGGTAACGAAGTTAGGTAATGTTAGGTAGGTTTGTTTGGCTAGGGTGGGGTGGTTAGGTCTGTTTTTGATACCCACAAAGATTAATTTACGTGTATTTTAGAAATAACCATTTTTCAACACATTTGCATAAACTACAACAGTGTCCCCTATAAAAAGCAGTGAAACTCCAGCATTTTTTAAATAATTTTCTATAAATTTTGGCAGCGGATTAATCATAAATAATTACCGATCAGTCTTTTACTGTGCTTTACCCTACAATTTCTCTCATCCTCCATACCCTGCCCACTACAGGTGATTACTGATCATAGATAAAGAAAAACTAAAAACAAAATAAATAAAAGATGCCGCCGCTTTTAAAATAGGCAGTGGATATTTTGCAGTGACCAGCTAAATTCCTACTAACGCTATTTTACTGTTAGTGCCTTCTGATTGGCTAATCGTTGATTACCGGCAAACAACGTGAGAACTACAGGTATATTTGACCGTGACTTGGCGGCATTTGAGATTTATTTTGCCATGAGTCGATCGTTGTGTAGCTATAAACATACCTAACCATATTTCTATTGTGCATGCAACTTATATAATTATAAAAGAGGTGACATTTACTAGAACCTATAGGTAATAAGGTGAATTTATAGTAAAACACCGGTCTTTCTCTTGCTGTTATTAATATGTATTTCGTAATGTTTAGACAATTCTAAGACTTTTTCTTCAGTGATGTTTCCGCCGGAAATTAAGGATAACCGAGATATTATTTTTTTAATATTATTAGATTTGGTCAGTCACAAGTGTCGCTATGTGTTTTTATTTTGTGCTGAAAAGGTTTGACCCCCACCCCCCCTCACACAGTACTCCTTACCTCTGTCTTCGCTTCTTAAGCATCTACGGTGCATGTGCGAGGGGTGGTGTGGGAGTTTCTTTTTGGCTATAACGATAGGAGACTTATTATTGGGCAAGAGTTTTTCGTCTTAGCCAATGAACAATGCGTGGGTGCGTTGGGAGCGGATATATGAATTTTCAGTACCAGATAAGGCTGAACAGGTGGAAGAGTTGTGCCGACATTGTGATAGAGATTATTTTACGTCATTGCCGAGTTTCATCAGAAAAATAGAGGCAATTTATTTTTTTTTTTGGAAAACACAATGTACCCTGTATTACCGAACAATGTTATTTGTCCAGTGTAATAATCAGTGTACACTGCGTTAAGAACAAAACATTTGGCGGTGTCACCACAGTTTTCTTCAGCCGAACAGTTAGATTAGGTTAGGTTTGGTTGGTTGGTTGGTATTTGATTTATGTGGTTTACTCAAAAGAAAAAAATACAACTTTTTCCCTTAAGATTGTTGGGGGTTATCTAAAAAAAACTACTGATTTCCGGCGGATATGAATAACAAATTCATTCGAAACTCATCAAATACCATAGGAAAAACATATTTTCAATATGTGCTTTTCTATAAATTTACCGGTAATAGAACCTGACCTAACTAACCAAAGAAACCTACCTAACTTCCTAGCTGGGGGGCAGACCCCCATCATATTAAAGTGAAAGTACTTAGCCAATCAGAGCCCACTAACGGTAAAACAGTGTTAGCAGGAAATTAGCCGGTCACGGCAAAATATCCACTACATTTAAAATACTATTATGATAAACATATCTGTGGAAAAATTAACAAAATCGAACAGCTGCTTCTGGTCGTAGTGTTGTTCTTAGAAATTACTTCAGCAAATGCAGTATTCATATGCCTCTTGAGTAACTGAGGTGCCATAGTGCCAGCACTGGTGGCTCTCTGGACATTTTGTTTCAGAGAAAATTTGCAGTTTTGTTAGGGTTATACTGAATGACATCGTCCTCTGCTACTCATTCATATTTGTCCAGGGCCAGGATTTTAATGACTGAATCCTGGACACAACAGTGAGAGATATGCATGTTACCACTAACTACTGCTGCCCGTCAATCTAACACCTGACGTCTATCACTAATAATAACACCATTTTATCTTTACTTTTACTTTTTTTCCTCTTCACCAGTGATAGCCGCTTAAGCGATCGGTTACGTCTCTTGTCATGCACTGTTGGCAAGTATTAGTCATGTACTGGCTCTCTGTTACGCACTGTTGGCAGGTACTGGGCCACCGGCTCCTTTTAAATCAAAGAAGACGAAGAAAGCCAAAATAATTAAAACCAACTTTCCGTGCTTTATCAAAGTTACTCACATTCCATACGTTGGGGTGACTGGTGTTGGGAACTTGGGACTTAGGTGACCTGCGCCTGGACATGTCTGTTTTGTGTAGACAATTACGTTTAAAGTTGCCAGACAGGGCTGACGGGATTTCCGACTTTTGTTTACCGAACACGCTGATTGGTTCAACTGCTCGCGTTGTGATTGGTTGCGAAAATATGAGTCCATGACGTAATATTACGATTTCCTCTAATAGAATGTGTGGTGAGGGGTAACGAAGATCCCAGATAAAAATAAGACCTGAGGGTCCAGGGTTATCTGACCCTACTGCCATATGGCATCACGAAAATTGCGACCAAGTCCCAGGTTGCTGATCTGACTTTCTGCCTCATTTACACACAATTGCAGGGTCTCAATTGTTTCTCTTACCATTAACAACACAACACACATATATTGTTTCTCATTATTTATTTTTTTATGGTTCTTTATCATTATTATTATTATTGTTACTATTACATTTTCGCCCCCGGGCCCCGATGTGGGTCAGTGACCTGTGCCCGGGTGGGCTAATCCCCGAAAAAAAAAAAAAAAAACTCCTGAATCTTAATTGTCAGAGAAATAATACAACAGTTGTCTCATGAAGTAATGAGTATTGAAGTAGTTAAATGATATACTAAGTACTTGGAGTTGTTTACTGACGTAATAAGTACTTAAAGTGTTTAATGAATTAATAAGTACTTGCGGATCTGTTTTATCGATGGTACAGTAAGACCTGAGGGTCCAGTCTTGTCTGAGTGAATTTAAGTGACATCTTATTCACTCACTGTGTTAATAAATATTGAATTAGTAATTTACGAGTATCACCACTCTATTCCTTCTAAACATTGGTTCCCAGAAAATAATACTTACTCACGTGCCTATATATCTACCACACTACCCCAAAGCTTTCCATGAGTTATGTTATATTCTAACCAAAAGTCTGGTGGTGGCAGCCTACCCTTGTAAGTATAATAAGTGTACTAAGAATAACATGGTTCCCCAGACTAACCCATGTATGAGAATATAAGTAAAAACAGAGTATACTTCAGAAAGGTAAGAACATTGATATTTAGAAATTATAATATTATATATGAAAAGAAATGAAAGACTTGGAAACTATAAGCATAGAAATATCAGAATTACTTGTATAAGAATATAAGAAAGAATATGAGACATATATATCTAAATAGAGAAATGAAGAATGATAACTACATAAAACAGGATACTTATTGAAGAGAATAATACAAAGAACATATAAGTATATAAATAAATATGAATCTAAGAGAGAATAATATGAAATAAGAAGTGAAAGAAAACCGCCCATCACATTGGCCTATTTTATGTCGTTCGTGGGGATACCCTGAATTTCTGATCGCTACTGAAGTTATATTTTTTTGTCGCCCAAACATCAGGGAATCTGATGTTTGTAGTTTAGTTAGTGTCAGTTGTCTATTTTTGAAAGTCATTAATCTCCTGAACTATTCTATCAACCTGTAAAACCTCCAAGACTTAATGACTGTTTTGACCTGGAATGTGGTCTGCGGTCAGGCAAGTAGAGTTGTTAGTGCATATATAACTCCATTTCACCACTTTCCTGACAAACTCAATCTCTGATTAGATCATAAAGATAGACGTAGAAAATTAGCCTGACCTGGGACACTGACGGTCACAGCTAGGTGTACAGCTGTACTGCGCACATTATTGTCATTCCTAAAAACCCCCTTTAATTCATATTACGCTACATAACATTCAAATCCACCGCCCTGGTAGAATCTCAGAAAACGGGAATCATTGATAAAGTCCAACTCACCTAATGAATGTTACTGGATTATTTGATGAATTGTACCCAGCTATGGGTATATAATAGTAATTGTATGTACTCATAGCATTAAGGAGAACTCAAGGTATCTATAGGATGGTTGTGAGAGTCCAATTGATCTGGGCGAGTGTACTGTCCGGGCTAAGTGTAGATCGTGGTTTGCAGGTCATACTATTTACGTCTGTTAAAGTTTAGCGAACATAACTTCCACAGATATCATATGAAAATACATGAGAACAATAATCTGGAAAAAGGATAAATGTATCAGAACTATGTGAGGTGTTAGAAGTGACCCAGAAAAAATACTTGAAAGGAAATATCTTGTATGCATCGGTGTGAACTTAATACACCTCGTATCCTCGGGTGGCGTATACCCACGACATGTACAGTGATCAGAGAATATTCTGTCTGTGTTCAAGTAGTGCAATATGTGAGGGGAGGATCCCTAATTACAGTTTTAAGTGAAGTGGATATACCCACGATATGAACATTCGGCTTTTGTTTCAGGGCAGCGTCCCTTGTACCTGGACTCCAGGTGTGAGTTGTTGATATAGCTCAGTTAATTTCTCCAAAAACTGTCAAGCCCGAACCGTTTTCTAGTATGTAAGTTAGGATTAAAATATGGATTAATAAGACACCAGGTCACAGTAAACTGGAAAATGGAGATGTGAGAACCAGAAGAAATAAAAGTAAAAATTAAAGATTGGAAACTGTAGGCCTAAACAGAGAGGCACGGGGGGGGGGGGGGCATCAGCCTTCAGTATCCTCAGCTATCTCATCAAACTCAGGTCTAATGTAGTCGGAGCGCCTTGCTGGGCGGCGGCCATTATCCCTGTGAGCGTCCAACCACGTGAGGTGACTACTCCCAGCTATGCGATTCCACTGTGAACCTGTGGATTCCCAGCATACCACCACGAATGAGTAGGAATAACTAAGGAAACGCTTGAGAAACTCAGCGGTCGTCACTTGGAGCGAACTGTAATACCAGGCGTAGAAACAGTACTGGTATGTCTCTTGGTGTAGCCCTCGCCTCTTCCCACCGAGGGCGGTGTGCGAACGAGGTGTATACCTAGAAATTACAAGGAGTCCCATACTTGCAGGTGTGGAGTGTAACAGGTGTGGTGAGCTGGTGCTACAGGGAGGTGAGATGGTGTTACTATGTATGATGACCTAAGGTGCCATATTCCATACAGGGGGAGCAGTCTGACGTGTTGAGTGTGATTGTAAGAAGGGTACCCAAAATCATCGTTGTTCTTCTGAGGAAGGCCAACTCACTTGTATTTTTTTACAGTATGTTTTGTAAGGAATAAATTAGTTAAGACATGTTATGGTTTCACCATTCTTTCCCCTGATCGATCTGGTCAATGAAAAACCTAACCCAATGCCTAGTCCACTCTGGCCGCTACCCAATGAGCTACATACTGCCCAGAGGGGGTCTGGTGGCAGCAACCTTTAAAAGTAAGACTATAGTTAAGTTATCCCCCTTAGAATTAGTGACCCCAGAATCTGGCAGTATACAGGGACCACTTTGAATAGAAGGTCTATTGTTAGTAAGATTAGTCTTTCTGGTAGGGAAGTGCCCCCCAGTCTCACTTATATACGAATGCACGAGGAAAATCACACTCTTATGGTTTCTCCTCGACACATCTCCAGGTTTGTGAATGATTGTTTCTCGCTGTCATGTTAATTCAGTTTAACTTAGTCGAGTTTTGTGAATATCAGTGTTCACTTAGTCGAGTTTTGTGAATATTAGTGTTCACTTAGTCGAGTTTTGTGAATATCAGTGTTCACTTAGTCGAGTTTTGTGAATATCAGTGTTCATGTTTTAACATAGTAATATTCTGTGCCAAATTAGTCGAGTAATGTAGATATCATCTGTACCATTGCCAGATGTATGTGATTTCTCCTCCACGCATCTCCAGGTGCTGTTTGTGTGGTGGCAACACTACTGAGGCTCGGGAGCCGCCTATGGGCAAGATGGTTCTCGAAGGATGTCTTTAAGGTGGCGAGATTAGAATCCCAGGACGAGATTCCTCGGGAGACGCCATAAACGACTCACTGAGTCAACCCACCCGGCGCTCCTAGCGAGCGAGCGAGCCTGTTAACAACTTTGGCCCGCTGACTCGTCTTGTGACTGTTGCCCATTAGGGTGTGTCAATTTTGTCAACATGTTAAAAATCAAATTTGGTAGTCAAAATATTGTGCCTCTTTATGTCTAAACTTGAGATTAGCAAACAAAAATGAATTGAAATAACCCTCACCTACATCAATTATACCTTAAAGTTTCAAATATCAGTATTTCAACAAATTAATGAGACTTGATTAGAATTATTCACTTGATATTAACTAATCTCATGTAAGCATATGGATTATGGAGTATTTTATGGTTCTATAGCTTGTGTACAATATGCATGTCAGAACATGAACATGAACAGGCTCTCCGTGTGGGACAGTTTAATTATTGTTTTGACTTGTACCAAGCGTGAGGATAAGGCGCCCGGCTCACTCTCCTTCTAGATATCATAGACGGTGGTTTGCTCTCATTGCACTTGCACCTACTCTACCAGACGAATTCTACATTTTAATTATTGTAAGTAGGGCATATTGATTGTCGCAGTTACTTATATCATTGTATAAAACATTATGTTCTAAGAAATTATTATGTTATTTCTGTTACAGCATTTTTGATAAACAAATTGATATTTTTTGAAACAACAATTGAATTATGAAACATTGAAATATTTTTCTATTTGTCAGATAGTGTGAAGATGTCAAAATTGAAGACAAGAAGTCAGTTGTCAACCCACTTGAGCCTGCTAGTTGGTAAAGGGAAGGAGCTTCCTGTATCAGAACTTCCAACAGTGAGAGACATGCTAAGATTAGGGTTACTCCTTCGAGAAAAAAATGCAAAGGACAGAAGGAACTATACAGATAAAGAACTCATAAATGACATGATAGTCCCTCTTCTGCATCAATGGACAAAAGCTAATGCACTATTCAAACCACCTGTGATTAATCAGTGTCGAACTATTGAGCTAAAACTAACGAAATTATGGCACAAAGCAGTTGAAACATCACTTGGTAAAGGAAACTTGGCCAGGAAAAATGAATTTCTGCACACACTTGATACTCTGTTTGACATTTTGACCTGCAAGTGCTCCATACAATTATGTTCTGAATCCAACTGTTCTCACTCAGGTAAGAGAGAAAATAATTCCCACATTGATTGTGGTTGTCCTCGTGAAAAGAAGATCCCTGTTTTAGAGCTTGAATTTATAAAGGCACAGAGGACAAAGGCAGAAGGCCAAGGAAGTATGCAAATGGGTTCAATAGATTATTCAGAAACAAAGAAGCAGATTG